TTTATGTTTGTGTATTATGCTTTGGTAAAGAATTTCTAATACCAAATGCTGGTGAGCATGCAGAGTAACTGGAACTCTTAAACACCGCAAGTGAGAATACACAATGATACCACCACTTTGAAAAACAGTTTGGCAGTTTTTGGTTTTGTTTTTTTAAACAACAAACATTTATTTCTCACAGTTCGGGAGTTTGGTAGGCATCAAGATCAGTGATTAGGCAGGCAGGTTTAGTTTCTGATGAGAACTCACTTCCTGGTTTGAAGATGGCTGTCTTTTTTTCTTTTTTTTTAAAGGGGGTTGGGGAGGGAGAGAGAATCTTCAGCAGGCTCCACGCCCAATGTGGAGCTCTGCAGGGGCTTGATCTCACGGCCCTGAGATCATGACCTGAGCCAAAATACAGAGTCAGACACTTAAACCAACTGAGCTGCCCAGGGGCCCCAAAGATGACTGTCTTCTTGTTTCATCTTCACATGGCAGAGAGCATTGAGAGCGGAAGCAAGCTCTCCCATTTCTTCTTCCTCCCTCCTCCTCCCCTCCCCTTCTTCTTCTCTTCCTCCTTCTTACCCCCAACCCCAGTTTGGCAGTTTCTTACAGTTAAACATACACTTCCCCAGCATTCCTGTTCCTGTCCCAAATTAATGAAAACTTACGTTCTCACAGAAACCTGGATGTGAGTGTTTCTCGTGGCTTTATTCATAATCACCAGAAACTAAAAAAAAAACAATGCTAGGGAATGGATAAACAAACTGATATGCCCATTCTCTGGAATACTACTTACCAATAAAAATACCAAAATACTGTTAATGCAACAAAATGGATTAATCTTAGTTATTATGCTAAGTGAAAGAAGCCAGACTCAAAAGGATGCATTCTGTGTGATTCCATTTATACAACATTCTGGAAAAGGCAAACCTATGTAGGGCAGAGAATAGGTGAGTAGTTGCCTGGGAATGAAGGAAGGGTTAACTGTAAAGGGGCACTGTGTCTTGGTACAAATTGTGCACGTACCATATGTGTTTGTGTATAAACTTGAGTTTGGGGACGCCTGGGTGGCTCAGTTGATTAAGCATCTGCCTTCAGCTCAGTTCATGATCCCGGGGTCCTGGGATTGAGTCTCGCATCAGATTCCTTGCTCAGTGGGGAGCCTGCTTCTCCCTCTGCTGCTCCCCCTGCTTGCGCATTTGCTCTCTCTCTCTCTCTGACAAATAAATAAAATCTTTTTTTTTTAAGATTTTATTTATTTATTTGACAGAGACAACGAGAGGGAATACAAGTAGGGGGAGTGGGAGAGGGAGAAGCAGGCTTCCCGTGGAGCAGGGAGCCTGATGGCGGGGCTCAATCCCGGGACTCCGGGATCATGACCTGAGCCGAGGGCAGATGCTTAACAACTGAGCCACCCAGGCGCCCCAAATAAATAAAATCTTAAAAAAAAAAGGCAACTGGGGCGCCTGGGTGGCTCAGATGGTTAAGCGTCTGCCTTCAGCTCAGGTCATGATCACAGGGTCCAGGGATCGAGTCCCGCATCGGGCTCCCTGCTACGCGGGGAGCCTGCTTCTCCCTCTACCTCTGCCTCTCTGTCTCTCTGACTCTCATGAATAAATAAATAAAACATTAAAAAAAAAAAAAGCAACTGGACTTTAAAAATCCTAATACCTAGTCCCCATCTCAGACCAATTAGCCCAGAGTTTCTTTTAAACATTTCCAGGTGATTTCACTGGACAGTCAAGGTTGAGAACCACCGGGCTACATAAATCATTTAGTGAACTGCGAGAAAACATTGCCTGTTGGCTTTGGGTTTCCACTCTCCTCAACAGCTGATTAAAAATGCTGGGCAGAGACTGAGCATCAAGTGAAGTAATTGGTGTTTACGTGGGTGCAGGTTATCCCACCTTTTCCCCATTGATGGCTAGGAGTCACTGGGCAGGCTTTTCTTTGGTTATCACTTTGCTGTTGCTGATAGTGCTCAAACGGGGGATTGTGAAAACCAACATCAAGAAAGGCTTGAGGGGCGCCTGGGTGGCTCAGTTGGTTAAGCGTCTGCCTTTGGCTCAGGTCATGATCCCAGGATCCTGGGATTGAGCCCAGCGTCAGGCTCCCCGCTTGGTGGGGAGTCTGCTTCTCCCTTTCCTCCCTGCTTATGTGCTCTCTCTTGCCATCTCTGTCTCTCTCAAATAAATAAGTAAAATCTTAAAAAAAAAAAAAAAAGGCTTGAACACAGTTTGATTTATTGAAACCATTGCATTTAAGATCATATCCTGGGCAATACTCGATTGTTCTTACACAGTCATGGTATTTTCAGCCTTTTCTACAGTCACCTTGTGAACAGACCTGACTTGGGGCTGTGGTCCAAAGTATACCACTAGATGTCACCAAGGAGTGATGAACGGATAAACAGATGGATCCAAGGGTAAAATGGGATGGGAAGATGTTGAGAGTTTATTTTCTGGATCTAAAGGGCTCTGAAGGAGGCGGGTTACTGTGGAGGATCTAGGGAAGGGTTTGCAGTACCTCTTAAAAGTTCACCCCAGTTTTTCAGGGGTTCCTTATTTGCTCCAGACTTGGGCTGCTTCTGTAACCTTCTTCTTTTATTTAACCCTCTCTTTGTCTTTGAGATTTTTCTTAAATATCTGTACCTTGGCAATAGGTGGCCTCCTGTGTCATATTACTTTCCCTGAGACCCTTTTCCTGTGTATAATCTGTAATTAACTATTCTGCTATAGAACTGTTCTCAAATAGAGTCTTTTGGCCTCCCTCCCCCTCCTTTTTTATTTCTGCCTGTGTTGTTTCAGAAGTCAGCAGAACTCAACACTCTCATAATTTCTCAGGCTGAATATGAATAGAAAGGTTGGGAGAAGGTTAGCCAGATAAGCCAGGTTAGGCCCAAGGCAGTGAGTTAAAGCCAGTCTTTCTGTATGTATCTATGTTCATTTTTCTCTTCCTCTCTCCCCTCCAGCCACATAATATAAAACAAGAAGCAAGGGCCTACTACCAACCCAGAACTGAGATCCAAACTCTAGTCTTCATCCTCTGTGCCTTGTAGTCAAGCCCCCGTCCCTCATTTTTGGGTTGACCAGGTATCTTTTCTAGCTGTGAGGAAGTAGCTGTAGTTACCAACTTGAACATAGTCTTAGTCCCAGTTCAGATGTGACCTTCATCTCTGGACTGTCTCCCGAAGATAAGTTCTTTTTTTTTTTTTTTTTAAGATTTTATTTGACGGAGAGAGACACAGTGAGAGAGGGAACACAAGCAGGGGGAGTGGGAGAGGGAGAAGCAGGCTCCCCGCGGAGCAGGGAGCTCAGTGCAGGGGTTGATCCCAGCACCCTGGGATCGTGACCTGAGCCGAAGGCAGACGCTTAATGACTGAGCCACCCAGGCGCCCCTTTTTTTGTTTTGTTTTGTTTTAAAGATTTTGTTTATTTATTTGACAGAGACACAGCAAGAGAGGGAGATAAGTTCTTAATATGGGTTAAAATGCCCACTTTGCCTTTCTTTCTTTCCTTCCTTCCAAATTTATTTAAGTAATATCTACTCCCAACATGGGGCTTGAACTCACAACCCCAAGATCAAGAGTCCCATGCTCTTCCAACTGAGCCAGCCAGGCACCCGCACCCCGCCCCCCCCAGTCCCATCTCTTTAAACTTTAAATCCTGCATTTGTTTCAAATCTGTTTTTAGAACCTGTCATCTCCGTTTAGCATCTCTTCTCTGGCCCAGCTCTACATGATAGTCCTTTGCATTTATAGGCTGTGCTGTGTAATCCCATATTTACTTATATGTGCCCTCGTGTTTTCCTTTCCATAGTCAGCTGCTAAAAGTTGTTTTCATATCTTCTACTTTTGTGCTCAGTATATTTACCTTGCAAGATGCTGAGCACAGAATTGAAATGACTGTTGATAAGTCGATTGAGCCAGAACATAATAATAGTAGTGAACACTTATATAATGCTTACCATGTGCCCGGCACTTTTCTAAGTACATTACATATGTCATCTCATTAAATCTACACAAAATCCATGAGGGAGAGTCTATTATTATCCTTCATTTTATAGATGTGATAACTGGGGCATGGAGAGGTTAAGACAGTTAACCAGAGTCACACAGCTATTAAGTGATGAGGCCAGATTACAAGTCTAGGCACTGTGACTCCAGGGTCCATGCTCTCAACCCCTACACTATGGTTTAATTTAAATCATTAAAGTAAATATTTATCAAGTATTTGTTATATATGAGTCACTGTGCTCGGTGTTTTACATGTATTATTTCATTCATTCCTCACAGAGCGGTATGAGTTAGGAACTGTACTATCCCTGTTTTGCAGACAGAACTGGGACACAGGTTAAGTAAAGTGCTGAAGGCCGGGCAACTCATAAATCCAAGGTGGTGCATTTGGGCTGTGAACTCAAGTTTGTCTGAGCCAGAGCACCAAGTCTTAACCACTATGCTGTGTTCCCCAGTGGACCTCTGGGGCTATTAATTGGGTTAGATCCCAGTACGAGGTACTGATACATTCTTTTTAGGTTTATGTGTACTGGGAAGTGCTTTGCTCATTCACCAATGTGTTCAGGGGCCACATTCAGAGACAGTGCTTGTGTGACTTTCCTGGCTAAGCCTACCTTTTGAACCTCATCATTAGATGCTGCTTCCTTTGCTAATAGCCGGTTTTCCAGTCTTGGGCCATGGCCCCCAGTTTAGGTCCATAGGAGCTATTCAACTGCAGTTTCTTTTAATGCTGCTGCATTTGAGTAATTCATCTGCCAGTAATAAGGTGATTCCTCCCTATTATACCAGCAGTTCTCTGTGGAGGCATGAATGTAAAATGTAGGTAAAAAGCCAAAGCTGTTGGAAGAATGCTGTTTCTAAGGGTGGTGGTTTATGAACCTTTTCTATTTGTTCTCAAGGGTTTTCCTTCTGAAAAGGCAGAAGGTTTTGCAGCAGCAGGAAAAAGTCCATTAAGAGGAAGAAAATCATGAAGCTTACTTCGTCTTTCTTTCCCTTTCTCCAGAGTCTGAATGGTGTTTGGCTGAACAGAGTACGTCTAGAACCTTTAAAGGTCTATTCTGTCCATAAGGGAGACCACATCCAGCTCGGGGTACCTCTGGAGAATAAGGAGAATGCAGAGTATGAATATGAAGTTACTGAAGAAGACTGGGAGAGGATGTATCCTTGTCTTGCCCCAAAGAATGACCAGATGACGGGAAAAAATAGGGGATTGAGAACTAAAAGGAAATTTAGTTTGGATGAATTAGAGGGTCCTGGAGCTGAAGGCCCCTCAAATTTGAAATCCAAAATAAGTAAAGTATCTTGTGAACCTGGTCAACCAGTGAAGTCTCATGGGAAAGGTGAAGTGGCCAGTCAACCCTCTGAATATTTGGATCCTAAGTTGACTTCTCTTGAGCCGAGTGAGAAGGCCACAGAGGCTCATGTTCACCCTGGCTCCGCAAAAATCATAGAGCTTCATCGTAAGAAGCAGAAAGCCTCAAACCCTTCAGTGTCTCAGAGCAGCTTAGAGCTGTTCAAGGTGACCATGTCCAGGATTCTGAAGCTGAAAACACAAATGCAGGAAAAACAGGTAGCTGTCTTGAAGGTGAAAAAGCAGACCCAAAAAGGGAACTCAAAGAAAATTGTGAAAATGGAGCAGGAGCTGCAGGACTTACAGTCCCAGCTGTGCGCAGAGCAGGCCCAGCAGCAGGCCAGAGTGGAGCAGCTAGAGAAGACTTTCCAGGAAGAGGAACAGCATCTCCAGGTACCACACAGGAGGGAAGGACGCCAGTGCTCCTCAGGGATGGGCAGGCCCTTGGTGAGCCTCTGGCCACAGCTCTGTGTTTCTGGGTCAGGGACCACGTGCTTTGAGTGCCAGGGACGCGAGATGGAATGGGAACAAAGGACTTTGAGAGGGAGAAGGGGGTAGCATAAAGTGTTAAGACTTCAGCCTGATGGTCAAGAGCCAGAGTGTGGTGCCATGATGGGGTAAGGTAGCTGGCTAGCCAGGACGTAACTGATCTCAGGGTGTAAAGCTGAGGCCCCTGAGAACTGAGGTAAGTTCAGAGAGAGGTTGGATGAAGGTCAGGAGGCCACAGAACCACAGTACACTCAGTTAAACCAATAATGGTCCTTATGAATTATCTTTCTTTGCTATGTCAAAGCCAAATCACTTAGGCCCAAGGCAGCGATGGGTCAGGTGGTAACTCTGCTCTTGTTGTACCTGGCAACTTACTAGCTCTGATGATTAGTTAACTCTGTAGCTAACCTAGGAAGTGGGAGCCTAGAAAGGCAGAAAATGTTTTTGTTTCTATCCTAAGCATCCAGCACAGGAGGGGCCAGGTATATTGTGATTCAGTTGTTGGGTTGAGTGATAAGCACCTTCCCCAGTGCCTTTAGGGGGAAGGTCGAATAATGACTGTCTTAGCTGTGTCAGGGTAAGACCAAATGTGTCTCCATCCCTGAGTCATTTGCTTAGATTGCAAGCTCTTGCACAAAGCCTCTGGGCTAGAGCTGATCCTGGTCCCTGCTCAAAATGTCAGTTCCCATCTGGCAAGAAGCACATGTTTACTCCCACCTACTTGCTCAGGTAATATTGAATGTCAAGAATTCCCCATTGTTGACTTAGAAATAAAAAGGACCAATCAGGATTGAAGAGAATAAGCTTTTCTGTTTTGTTTACTTTGCTCAGGGGAAGGAACAACCAGTAGTGTTGGCTTATTTCTGAACAATTTATAAATTTCATTCTAATCTCTGCTATCCCCTTGAACTGGTAGCATTAGCAAGGGCCATGGATTAAATGGGTCTTTCTGAGGGTATACACTGCTTGCTCATGTGTACCTTTTTGCTTCCCCTACCGGCCTGGACTAGTTCTTGAAGTTAATGGAGGGAGTTCATCTTTAATATTTAGTGTATGACACCTTCACCAGAGCAGAACCTTCTTTAAAGGCTAATGTGTTCAGGAACAAGAGTTATTATTAATTAATATTTGGTCATGCTTCAGGATATAGCTATAACATCTTTTTCTATATCAAAATGGTAAAGAAAGGCAAAAAGGACTGGCTTGGAGAATTTCTAGGGTATTTGAGGGTCATATATAAATAGCTCATGGTGAAATGTATCTAGTCCTTTGTTTATGAGCTGCATTTCCCTCTGCCACCAAGCCCTAAGGATTTATTCTACTCCTACTAATTGTTCTAAAGCTCATTTAACTGTTGTTGCTTCACACAGATTTTTTTTTTTTTTTTTTGAGCACCTGCATTGCCTGGTGTTCTATACTTGGAGTTCAGGTGGTTATGAAGATGCTTAATAAAGGGTTTTTGCCATTAAGAAATAAATCTTGTTCAAGAAATGAGATATATTATACATGTAAAATAATCAGGACAGTTTTAAGTCAATATATATTTAAATTAGAGAATAATTTCCAGTTGGCATATTAAATGGGCAGGTAATTCTTAAAGAGGGAAGGGCCTAGAGGGTCTTGTAGAAGGTGCTGGACATAGGGCAACGATGATGTGGAAGGCATCCATATCAGAGGGGGCTGATGGAGAAAACAGTGTAAGTTGCAGCGAGGAGGAGAGGCAGTTTATGGGCTAGAAGTGACAGAGACTCACACTAAGAGGGCGGCCAGAATTGAGGGAAGAAACGTGGTGGAGCTTGTGAGTGTCAACCTAGGGGATTATATCTGAGTTTAGATATTTGGTGGCTTCGAAGCTCAGTTTACATCTTTCTGGGAGTCACGGTGTTAGCCAGTGAAGAAGATTTGGAGTATTACCCCAGGGGTTCTCTCCAGAACAACTCGGGTGGTAGCTTGAAGGTGACAGCCCTGAGGTGTGCAGTGTTTGAGTAAGTAGTTCACGCTGCTCAAATCCCTTCCTGCCAACAGCTTAAAATAAAATGGGAGATTTTCCACCTGCTCCCTGCCCCCTGTTGTTTCCAGATGCTCACAGAAGCTAGTCTGCTCTGCTTGTTGCTAGATTTTGTTTCTTTTATCCCCCTCTCTGCAGGGAAACCTTCCATTTTGTTTTTGGCTTTGCAGGGTTTGGAGAAGGAGCAAGGAGAAGAGGACCTGAAGCAACAGTTGGCCCAGGCTCTGCAGGAGGTAACTTATCTCTTGCCACTCTACTGGGATTGTAGTGGGCTGCAGCTTCCCGTGGCCGCTGGCTGCCTCTTGTGCTTAGCACACACCTCTGCAGATCTCCACTCTGCAGACGAGTGGCTGCTCACACCATCAGGTTAGAGACTGGGCCTCACAGACATGCCGGGACTCAGCCTGAAAACCTGGGTCTTCATCTGAGCAGACGTTGCTCTAGTGAAGATGGGACGGAGCCTTTAGCAGTTAGGAGGCTCTCTGGGGGAAGTGGCTGTGCTTCCAGAAAGGTGAGGGCAGCAGAGGGGCATTTCAAGCTATGACTTGGCCACCAGGGCCTGCAAGGGTCTTTATTACCTCACTGTTCCTGAGCTGAAGCCTTCCAGAAACCATTCAAGAATGTTCCAGTTAAGCATTTTAGGTCAGGTTGAGAGTGCAGTTTGACAGTCAGCAAAGCATAGCGATTTACTGAAAGGGCAAGGCTCACAGGAATAAATTCCCCTCAAAGATTGCCTGTAATGTATTTCATGTAACTTGACTATCATCTGATAGTCTTTAAACCTGCTTTATCTTCCATCTTTAACGTGTTTATGATCAGGAATTTGATGCAAGTTTTGTCAGGAGGTTAGTGGGATGGTTCAAATCTCCTTGAGAAGAGTGAGCAATTGCGTTAGAATTTGTTTAGGAGAATTTTTCCTTACGTTCTTTTCTTGCATATGTAATTCCCAACCTTCTTAGAATGCTAATAGCCCTGTCTTATTGTGAGCTTTGGGGGGAATGCCTGCCTTGATTTCCCTAAGGGGTGTACAAATAGCCTTGAAAAGCCTTGGGTGAAAATTCAATCTTTTTAGAATTTTATTTTCTAAGCTTGTTTATTTTCTAGGGTGGGAAACTAGGCATATTTCCCATTTAGAGCATTATTAAATTGTATTGCAATATTGTTTTGAAATTGACTGGAAAAGAGTAAGGTTCTGCTACTTGGAAATCCCCAAGGGATCATTGAGTACCTTGCACCCACAACAACTCACCCTCTCCTGAGAGATAGGAAAACATTTAGCATGAGGTAGTTGGCCAGTCTCCATTCATTAGTCTAAAATGGGATACTTTTAGGTCATGGTTTATAACAACTGCCTAGGGACATACCACTCTCTCAACTGAAACAGTGGTTGTTTTTTGGTCCACCCTGTTGGTCCCTCTGTAGCAGTTTTTTTTTTTTTACTTACTAGGCAATTACAAAAACTTGCATTTACATAGAGCTTTTTTTTTTTTTTAAGATTTTATTTATTTATTTGACAGAGACACAGCGAGAGAGGGAATACAAGCAAGCAGTGGGAGAGAGAGAAGCAGGTCTCCTGCTGAGCAGGGAGCCAGATGTGGGGCTCGATCCCAGGACTCTGGGATCATGACCCGAGCCGAAGGCAGACGTTTAATGACTGAGCCACCCAGGCGCCCCTACATAGAGCTTTAAAAACTTTTCCAAATGCTTTCATATCTGTTATTTTATTTTCTTAACACTGATGTAGGAGGGGCACCTGTTGTCCCATTTTATAGATGAGTAAGTTAGGCACATCTAATCAGTGGTCAAGATGAATACCCAGGCCTTCTGATATAATTGCTTTTTGGGGGGAGACCACACATCTTAAAATTTGTTTCTTGAGTAATATCTTTTCAGAAATATTTACCTTTATTCCACCCTTTTTAAGAAAGGATTTAAGGTGAGAATTAAAGTGTAAGCTATACTTTAGCACAAGGGTGCTCAGAAATTTTCATAGTAGAATCTCTTGACATTCAGTGTAGGTGGTTAGTCACAATAGTCACAAGAGCTATTAGCTCTTGGGTGTGCCAGCTTCCAGAAGACACAGGCAGGGTTCAGGCAGCACTGCCTTACAAGCACGTCGTATGTGATTTGTAGAATAAATAGGTTAAAGGTCTTTTTTATTTCAATAAAAATGATTATCTAGACATTCCATTTCTCCCTGATTATTTCTTAAAAGCCACTCCCAGTGCTGGGTAGCCTCAGATAACTTACCAGCTCTTGAGCATTGGTTCCCAGAATCACTTGGGCGGCTTTTAAAAAAAAATGCACATTCCTGGGCCCCCAGCCAAACCTACAGAATCAGACTCTCTGGAAGGCAGTGTAAGTTCTTTAGTTGATTTGGATGGCCACTGAGGTTGGGTTATTTCCAGAGGGATTAATGGATTTGATGACCTCCCTCCCTAGCTGCCCCCTTCCCTGAAGAAAACCAGCAGGTAAGTGAGCTGTCCTGAAGGAACAAAGGCATTCTTGAAATTGCCAATCCATTGATCCCTTGAACCAAAGCCACTGATGGAGGGAGCAGGCTCGTGTGTGGCTGAAAGGAAAGATGCAGTATAAGCTCATCTTGAATATGTATCTGCTATGTTTCTGCAGCATCGGGCTCTAATGGAAGAACTAAATCGCAGCAAGAAAGACTTTGAAGCAATCATTCAAGCCAAGAACAAAGAATTGGAACAGACCAAGGTACTAGAAAGAAGATGAAGGTTTAGAATTTGGTTAGTACACGCAACTCAGCATTTTCAACAGTGCAAGGGTTGCTATGGTGAACGAAGAGAGAGATTATGGCAGTTCTCTGCCTCAGGGGATATAATCCGTAAAATTATTCAGGCCTATAGAAGGGTCTGCCTCTAAGACATTTTTTTCCTTCCCTCATTCAGAAGCGAAATGCTGGGAATGAGACTCTGATCCTGCAGTCTCGTCCTTTGGCTGTGGTAGATGCTCCTTCAGAGTGTTTCATTGAGACAGGCTAAGGGGTGGTATAGTTGAGAAACAGTTCATCCTGATGCATGTAGATAATTATTTCCCACATCACATCAGTGGAATGCTTAAATTAGGGGTTCTAAACTCAGGTGCCTACCAGGGTAGACTGGTAATAGAAGTGAGTGGAGTGGCCTTGGTGCAGGATCACAGTAGGGAGCTGTGAGGACAGAAGCACACCAGCCAGGGGCACTCGCCACCCCCCTTCCCTGCCCCCATCCCCGAGAGGCAGTGCTTCTCTGTTGCAGGCAGTTGTTGCTGTCCAGAAGTGCAGGCCCACTGTTGTCAGATCTTCTGCCTTTTCCACAGAAGATGGAAATCCAAATGTTTATGTGAACTCTTTCAATTTTAAATATTAGCAACAAATTCAAGGTTTTTTTTTTTGTTTTTTTTTTTAAATACCATGAGGGCCAAACTAAACAAATCTGCCAGCAAGATCCAGTCCACAGGCCACCGGTTTGGAACCTCTGACCTAAACTTAATGCCTGAGGCTGACTGCATCTCTCAGCCCACCCTTCCCCACAGACAGACCTGGAGCAGAATACAGAAAGGAGGAGACTCAACTTTCATTTGGTTTGAGATCCTTATCCTCTGTTTAAATCACATAGTACTTTCTTTCTTAAATTCCAAAAAACCACCAAATCTTTTTAAACTTAGCAATTTGTAAGTTTTCAGGGAACTTGACTTTAGTTAAAATGGGTCCAGACCCTCTTCACTGCCCTAAGCAGTGTGACAGTCTTTGCTTTGATTAAAAGAGACAATAAAAGATGAAAAATTGGGGCGCCTGGGTGGCTTAGTCGTTAAGCATCTGCCTTCGGCTCAGTTCATGATCCCAGGGTGCTGGGATCGAGCCCCGCATCGGGCTCCCTGCTCAGCGGGAAGCCTGCTTCTCCTTCTCCCACTCCCCCTGCTTGTGTTCCCTCTCTCCCTGTCTCTCTCTCTGTCAAGTAAATAAATAAAATCTTTTTAAAAAAATGAAACATTAATCAGTTACTCAGATACACCCTAAATGGCCTTACCTTTCCCGTCAGGGGCTCCTGACACTTTGAGTTTAGGGGATGAGGTGCTGACTTAAATAAATGTTTGCGGGGTGCCTGGGTGGCTCAGAGCATTAAGCGTCTGCCTTCGGCTCAGGTCCTGATCTCAGGATCCTGGGACCGAGCCCCACATAGGGCTCCCTGCTTGGTGGGGATCCTGTTTCTCCCTCTCCCTCTTCCGCCCCCCCTGCTTGTGCTTGCTCGCTCTCTGTGTCAAATAACTAAACAAAATCTTAA